CTCATGCGACAAGTTGTGCAGCTAGGTCCGGTCAGTCGAAGAGCCAAAAAGAAGGCTGAATCAAAAACACAAGACAGCAGACGACAACAATGTGCTGAGAAAGAGACTTACACATGGTCACCCCATGCTCCCATAGCCGGGTCATACAGACCACCAGGAACAGGGTTGTTGAAGGAATCCAAAGTCGGAGTATTATGGATTCGCTTCACCGAGGTGGCTTTGATATCCTCGTCATTGTAAACGGAAAAGTCAATCCCCGAAATAGAGGAAGCCACGGGACGTGCGAAGTTCGCCATGATTCCCTGCAGCTCCGTGAGCGACAGAAGAAGCTGGCTATGCGACTATCTGTTGGTCTGGAATGAGCAAAAGCGGGTTCGTTCGGTCTTGTCGCTGCGAAAAGAAAAAGTTCACCCAACTTTTTTTCTGCCGTGCGATACCGCTCAGACCCACGTTTGGGATCGCCCCGTGATTTATGCCTGTCTCACTAAGTTATCCGCGTTCTTTTCTCACTTTAGTTCTCGGATCGCCGATACTCGTTTGCCAACCTTCCGTACGCCAACTTTGAGTCGCGCTCGGTGCCAGTGGGTGAGTGCAGCATTCATTTTCTGCCTCGAGTGATGGCGGACCTATCAGGCAACATGCTGAAGCGACCTCACCCCGAGGACGAAGACAATAACACGCAGAAAAGATCACGTTCCAGCAATGGATCCCCATTACCCGGTCAAGGGGCTCCGGCCTCTGGGAAGCCTGATATCGAGAGGATGGTAGCTGAAGCGAGAGCGAAAGCCGAAGCTGTACGCGCAAGGCTTCAAGCTGCAAGAGGAGGATCCACACCATCAGCGGCACCAAGTCCCAGCCCTACACCCCCGGCCGCTTCCCCTGCAATGTCCAGGCTAGAGCAAATGAAAGCCAGAGTCGCGGCTGCTACCGGAAGGGCCAATGTGGTAGCTCAGCAACGACCGGCCGAACCCTCGCCAACGCCTCAACCTCCCCCATTGGAAGAAGACGATGGCTCCTCAAGGGGTCGGGGTGGTCTGGATGTCGGTCTTCATCCGGCCCTGCTTTCGGACACCGTTGAGTTCCGCAGTGCCAAGGGAAGACAGTCTACGCAATCGAAAAACCGTCGAACAGAATCTCCGGCCACAAGTGGGAAGCCGGATCGAGCAGGTCTCGATCTTTCCGGTCCTTCTTTGGAAGAAATCAGGAATAATCCCTATTATGACCCTAGCCTCGGTCCCAAAGCTACGATTGCAAAGCCGCGACAGTCGCGACAACTCATTTTCAACCAGAAGGGTAAATATATACAGCAGGGTGCCGCTCTGCGTCGGCAGGCTCAATTGGAGGCGATGAAGAAACGCATTGCCGAGAGGGCGCGACAGGCTGGTATCGATGAGGACCTTGATGTCGAAAAGGCTTTTCTTGTTCCGGCTCCACCTGCAATTGAATGGTGGGATGAAGGATTGGTGGACGGGGAGGACTATTCCGGCATCGAAGACGAACAGAATCTAAAGATCGATACACCGGACACCATAGTGACTCAATACGTTCAGCACCCAGTTCTTCTCGACCCTCCACAAGATAAGCATATGGCAGAGCAGAAGCCTATGTATCTCACACCTAAGGAACAAGCTAAGATTCGTCGCCAGCGGCGAATGGCCGATTTGAAGGAACAACAAGCCAAGATCCGACTGGGACTTGAGCCAGCTCCTCCACCGAAAGTCAAAAAGTCCAACCTCATGCGAGTGCTGGGTGAACAGGCCGTCAAAGACCCTACCGCTGTTGAAGCACGTGTAACGCGAGAGATCGCAGAGCGGCGTACTAAGCATGAGGAAGCCAACGAAGAGCGTAAGCTAACAAAGGAAGAGCGGCGAGATAAGCTTGCTAGGCAACAAGAGAAAGATGCTGAAAAAGGAATCCTTATGTCGGTTTACCGCATCGACAGTCTTGCAAACGGGCGGAATCGCTTCAAAATCAGCAGGAATGCTGAACAGAACGCTCTTACTGGGGTCTGTGTCATGCACCCTAAATTCAATCTTGTGATTGTTGAGGGTGGCTCCCACTCTATCAACAACTACAGGAAGCTTATGCTGAACCGGATAGACTGGACAGAGAACGCAGGTCCGAACGCTGTGCGGGAAGGAAACCGGGAGGCTCAGGTGTCATGGCTAGCTGCTGAAGATGAGCAAACGGGTGATCTGAAAGATCTTAGCTCCAACACATGCAGTCTCTTGTGGGAAGGCCAGGTCAAGGCTCGAGCTTTCCGCAAATGGCTGGGAGCACGAGTGTGTGAAACTGATTCTCAGGCTAAGGACGTCTTGGCTCGAGCAAAACTAGAGAACTTCTGGGCTCTGGGGAAGAGCGCAAAGCAGAGCGAGTCATGGTCATGACGATGATATTTATCCTTCTTCATTTATAGATTCTAGTCGAAAGGCAGAACAGGTCTATCTCTATTAAACAAATACAACCCATGGCCCGTATGTGCCAGGTCTAATAAGCAATCATTTTCACATTGCCCGCATCACTCGAATGGCATGCCTCCTCACGATGTATACATAAAGACTCGTAATCAACAAGAGAAATAATCCATGTAAACTTTTAAGCCAATCCAAGGTAAGATGCCTAACTCCCAATAATGCAAACTTATGTATCCCTATGTATCAGTTTTACCCAAACCCAGAAAAGCAAGGAAACCCTAATCATAACATGGTATCAGACACTCATGAGCGAGGTGGTCCTTGATTATTATTGCTCAGCTGACGCAACAGGTCTAATTGCGCCTTGACCTGGTCAAAATTCATGGTTGCAGCTTGCGCCGGTTGTTGCCCAGGAGCTTGCTGTTGGCGATTCTGCTGCAATAGTTGCTGCGCCTGCTGCGAGTATTGCAAAGCGGCCAAGAACATTGGGTCGATTTGCGTGTTGGGTGGAAACTGGTAAGGGTTTTGTTGAGGATAGGCCTGCTGGAATGGCATCTGGACATTGAAGCCAGGAGGTACAGCACCTTGACCGAACTGGTGCTGTGGTTGATGTTGAGGCGGCTGTTGCTGAGGCTGTTGCTGCTGCGGGAAAGATGGGTACGCAGGGTATGGTTGTGGCATTCCATAAGCATTAGGTTGGGTTTGCTGGTATACTTGTTGACTGTAGTTGGAAGATTGAGGTTGCGCGTCCGATCCTTGCTGTTGATATGGCTGGCGGTCGTAGTGCTGAGTCTCTCTCGGTCCGCCTCCACGGCCACGACCACCTCGGCCGCGATCAAAGCCCCGGCCCCGACCTCTACCACCACGGAAGCTACCTCTACCAGAAGGTGCGTCGTTCTCGACAGGTGCCTCCTGCCGACTCATCATCTCATGGAGGTTCTTCGGGCGAGCAAGAGGAGTATATCCATCTTCACCTGCGTTATCGTCGTAGTTTAGCTCAGTTTGACTGAGCTTCGAAGGACCTGGAGGTCCCTTCTTAGTCTTTGCTGGGCCATCCCTGGCCTCCTTTCTCTCCTGCCGCTTCTGCTTCAGCTTCCGCTTGTACTCGGCTTCTGCTTCATCGTCGGAAAACTCCACCTCATCCTCACCAATCTCCTCATCGTGGAAATTCGATGCATCACTACCTTTCATTCCCTTGAGAGGCTGAGTAAACACAAACGTAGAATGTTGCTCAACGTAGTAAACGTTCTTTCCTTTAGAAAGACCACGTTCCTCGACAGCCGCGGCAGTAGGGAACCGGATAGTATACAATGGTTCCTCGACTCTTCCCAGTGTCTCAGCAACCACACCAGTGATACTTCTATCTTCAAGGCAGAGTAATGAGCCCGATTCCAGCACCTGGTACTCTCCAGAAGTGTTCGCCGCGATCAGGACCGTGTTCTCGACAATTGCCTGCACATGTCCCAGTAACACGATCTTCATTTCCGGAGTCACAGTGACATCCGGGATAGGGGGCGCTTCTTCTGGAAGTTCATTTGCCGTTCTGATATGACCACCCGATTTACCCTTCCCTTCTCCTTCATCGTCGGAACCAAGTTCTGCCTGCATCAAAATCCGGGCTTGTTCTTCGGGGCTGAGAATTGGGTAGTCTTCGTCGTCCTCGTCGCTGTCATCTGAGGAATCGCTAGAAGAATCATCGGAAGATGACTCGTAGGGGGAAGAATCGATCTCCCATTCGGGATGCTCCTCGTCCTCCTCATCCTGTTCGGCTTGATCATGTTCCATAGTATCTAGGGGAGGCACAGTTCCTGTCCCGCTTGCGTCGCCATTGGTATTGTTGTTGTCCGCCTGGCCCTGTGTTGCAGCTTCGGCCTGGTTACGTGGTTCTGAATTTTGTTCCCCCTCGACCTTGCCGGTGCTCTCCACGGGAGGCTCTTGTTTCTTAGGCTCCGTTTCTTCGATATCCATACCAGTTTGTGTATCCGTTTGCGCACCATCCTGAGTGGTGGGGTTAGGCGACAGGCTTGGATCGCTCTGCGCTGGCTGCAGATCTTTGAGACTATCATTGACAAGGTTTAACCCTGGGATCAGTGTCGAAGGATGGGATGTCGTGGCTGGTTCATTGGTTTGACCCTGAATAGCGGCTCCCGAGTGTTCGATAGGTTCTGCAGGCGTGCGCGCAACCCACGGCGTGTTGTAGAAGTCACTTCCATCGTCCGCAGGTGTTAGGGCAATGGGTGGCGTATCATTCATGCAAGTCCGTTTCACAGGAGGCTCTTCGTTCGCATCCTCTAGGGAATGCTGGGGTTGAACAGGGGGTTGTTGATCACTCATTATGTATCTCTATAGCCTTGAGAAAGACTTGTCTCAAAGGCAAGAGAAAACAAAAATAAAGAATAATAATTTATGGTATAGTTAAAGGAATGATTGCAGGCAAAATCGAAGGCGGAAACTTTTTTTTTTCTCGAAGTGCCATAATTGCCGTTGGGGTTACCGGAGAAGCTTTCTTATCGATAACGTGTTTTGTTAAGCTTCAACCATGCCTTAACTTGGCATGTCAATTAATCTTCAACGATTGTCAGCAAAATGGCGTCTGCCAGGAAAACAATCGATGTTCCCTCGATGCCAACGGGGCAGGCACCGCGATCCAAGAAACGGTATCAAAACCAGAGTTCCTTTCCTTATCAATCAGGCTAACACTCGCGACATTCGCAGACCCCCGCCGCCGCCCTATTACCTTCCATTGAATATTACGCTCTATGTGTTTCTCGTCTCTAATGCGATTGCGGCTTTCTTTGCGCCCATCCAGGATTGCGATGAAGTCTTCAACTTTTGGGAGCCTACACATTATCTTGATCATGGATACGGGCTTCAGACGTGGGAGTACTCGCCGCTATATTCGATCCGGAGCTGGCTCTATGTCACCATTCATGCCATTGTCGGGAAAGTGGCCTCCCTTGCTCTGGTTACGAAAAGCTCTCAGTTCTATGCGATCCGCTTTTTTCTGGCTCTCGTTTGTGCCGCCTGTCAGACCCGGCTATATGCGGCAATCTGTCGAACACTAAGCCCCAAAATTGGCCTGTTCTTTCTTATGATCGTTGCCTTCAGCCCGGGCATGTTCCACGCCTCCGCAGCATTCCTCCCCTCTAGCTTTACTATGTACATGTCCATGCTAGGTCTCACAGCCTTCCTGGATTGGCGACGTCAGAAGATCGCGCAAGGAATTATGTGGTTTGGCCTCGGTGCGATTGTCGGCTGGCCTTTTGCCGGTGCTTTGATCGTTCCACTTCTGCTCGCAGAGGTTCTTGTCGGCTTTATCTCGGGGTACCTGGGGACTGTCGTCTCTGGTATCTTCAGTGGGGCCATCAGGTGTCTGGCAATCCTGGTATGTCGCTACGGACTGACCGTCTATGGTCTCCGTCTTGTGCTAATGAGATGCAGGCTGCAGAAATTGCTGTGGATTACGCTTTCCTCCGAAAATTTGCTATTGTGCCTTGGAATATCGTCGCCTACAACATCTTTGGAGGAGAAGGAAAGGGCCCAGACATCTTCGGTACAGAGCCTTGGACCTTCTACATAAGGAACCTACTCTTGAACTTCAATATCTGGTTCATATTTGCGATGTCTGCAGCACCTTTACTACTTCTCCAGGCCGTATTCCGGCCCCAATCGACCAAGAAGGAGATTCCGCTACGAACTTTGGCGGTAATTGCGCCATTTTATATGTGGCTTGCGATCTTTACCGCTCAGCCTCACAAGGAAGAAAGGTTCATGTATCCGGCGTACCCTTTTCTTGCTCTCAATGCGGCGATCGCCATCCACATAATCCTATCCTACGTTGGGTCTAAAGACTCGAAAGGGTCCAATGGAACCTTGATAGCCCAAGCCAAGCTTACCATTGTGACAGCTATTGTTCTTGCCGCTATCAATGCTGGCTTGCTGCGGACCGTCGGTATGATCACCGGCTACAACGCCCCTCTAAAGGTGTTCGAACCGCTCGAACGGCTGGACATTCCCCAAGCGGGCGACTCGGTATGCCTCGGTAAAGAGTGGTACCGATTTCCATCTTCGTTCTTCCTCCCTGATGGCATGCGGGCCAAGTTTATCCGCAGCGAATTCCGGGGATTGCTCCCTGGGGAATTTCCCGATGCCACGGATTACCCTGCTCTTTTTGACGGTACATCCCAGATCCCCGAAGGCATGAACGACTTGAATCTGGAGGACCCAGGCAAATATGTAAGTGTATAACCAGATGATCTTTCCTTCTCCATTCAGCTAATCCCACATAGGTTGACATCTCCCAATGCTCATACCTGGTGGACTCGTACTTCCCCAGCCGCGATGCAACCGAGCTGGAGCCCGACTATATCCATGACGAGTCGCAGTGGGAGGTGATGTCGTGCAAGCACTTCCTCGATGCTTCGCAAACAGGCCTTATAGGCCGCCTAATCTGGGTCCCTGACCTGCCGGGGCTTCCGAATCAATTGCAGCGTAAATGGGGGCAATATTGCCTGCTACGGCGCCGTGATGTCAACGCCGAGGCGGATTAAACGGTCACATGTACTATCAAGAAGCCCCATTCCACCAATGTAAATAGCCCAGAATGCTATCTCTGGATCTTACCTTCATTCGTATGCGAGATGCGATCCGACAGGTGCCAAACGTAGGGCGGCAGTGCGACTTTACCTGAAGGAGACAAAAGATCCCCCGGGGCTGCAGAGATAAGCATCTTCTTCCCCGCAAACTTTAGATGTCGATCGCATCCGATTAACTGATCCGGCAGTCGACTATCTGATCCCTTGCCAGCCATGATAGCACGCTGCAGCATGATGTATGATCCCTCCGGGTGCTGTACTACATCCTACATCGTGGATGATGATGCTTTAAATCCACCCTCCTTCATCCGTAACCCTACCGTGGAGCAGTCTCCCAACAACATCTATACCTCTCTATAGAAACCATCTCCACCCATGATACCAACAACACCATAAACAGTATCCATCACTATAGAAGCACCCGAAACATGATCTTCACCTCCCTCCCAAGTCCAATCACCCAACACCACCTCACCAACGTCACCGCCATTTGCCTCCTCGCAACCCTAACCACATATCTCCTCCATTCCCTCTGGAAGCGACACCACCTCTCCAAATCCCCCGAAAACGACCCAGAGCAAAAGTCCCTATCTCCCACTTCCAAATTCAAACAGCCCACCCGCAACCCGGGAGAATGGACCCCATCCGACTTCAAGCGACCTCCGGCCGCCCCATACCCAGACTGGGACGTACATACCACCGAGCCCAAGCCCTACCGACCGTTCAGATACGGACCGTAAGTCATATCCGTCTCCTACATCAACACACAAAGCATCCAGATAGGTACAAAGGCTAACAGAGAACCCCCCAGTAAATACTTCATCACCATGGGCCTGCGCAGCATGAAATGGGACGAATGGATCGAACTCGACAACCACTACGCACGCTACCACGCCGACAAAGCCCGCCGGATCGAAGAGCGAGGAGCGAAATGTTCCAGAACAGCTCCGGAAGCCATGGACGCCGCTATGGAGCTCCTGGAGGAACTGTACGTCTCTCCTTTCCTCTCCATACTACTCCTCTATCCACACAAACCATAGACCAAAACCATACACTTCCCTCCCCCAAAAAAGAAACAAGGAAAAAACAACCACCACTAACTAACCAACCCAAACCACAGAGCAACCTACCTCCCAGAACGCTACCCAACACTCTTCCGCAAAACCCCCACAGGCATAACCAACCTCCTCACCCAAGAAACCCTAACCACCGTGCCTCCCCTCCCCGAAGACCCCATGCAGACCTGCGCCCGCCTCGTCCAAGACGACCTGGCGCTCATGATCGAGCGCCCGGACGGCGAATACTACCTCCTGGCGGGGTCCATCCTGCTTGCCGGCTTCTGGCGCCTGGAAGACAAATACGGGATGCGGTTGTCGGAAATCCACACCTCGGGCTCCGTGCCCGGCTACAAGGAGAAGCTCGAGAAGGGCATGCTGAATTTCTTCCGCCGGCTGCGGCCCGAGGACCCGGTGCTCCGGAACAACTACTTCATCCAGGTGGACGAGAGCCTGCCCTGGTCGCACAGTATCGGGCCCGAGGATGGCGAGACGGTGTCGTGGAACACGGCGGAGAAGAATCGCGCGATTGAGCATCATTTCTTTCGCTCGGAGAGGCAGAGTTTGAGAAGATTGCCCAGGTCGGGCGCCGTGGTGTTTACTATTCGGACGTATTTTGAGCCCATCACGGAGATCGTCAAGGAGCCGTATGTGCCGGGTCGGTTGGCTTCGGCCATTAGGAGCTGGGGCGAGGATGTCGCACGGTATAAGGGGAGAGAGAAGTATGGGGAGGTGTTGTTGGAGTATTTGGATCGTATGCATGAGATGCAGGTTGCGCAGGGGCTGGAGGTAGACAAGGAGGAGGAGGTTAGGAGTTATCCGTTTTGATTCTTGGGGTTTGGTTGTTTTTTTTAAAAAAAAAATTTATGAAATATAATGACTTGATGAATGTCTTTCTTTTTGTTTCTTTTTGTAGCTGGGTGTTGTATCTTTATGAGATTGTAATGGCGTACGCCTCTATGATCGTATCATCTGTAAGTCGCCCAAGTCTGTTCAAAGTCCAACCAGATATCTAATCTCAGACACATTAGTAGATACAATAGACCCTTCCATATATAACCAAATACTGGAGACAGATTAATCTCCCAAACGCCGACCAATGCCTTAACCCTGTACAAAGTCTAGATCTAGAATGGTTAGACAGCCAGCGAAGACGATCTTCTCCTTCGCTTCGTAAATGCCAATTCGCGCTCTTGACGCCAGGAACACTCGTCACGAAACTCGCAGATCCGGCATTTCCACGCATCCATGACTTCGACACCTCGTGGGTTACGCTCGCCACGCCACCATTCCATCTGATCAGATAGATAGGCTGTCATCGTCGTAGGGTCAAAGAGAAAAGACCGGCTGCCCAGCACCCGCGACTGTGCTTCGGTGGTTGGGGCTGATGACAGGTATCGCGCGGTAAGAAGAGGCGATAGCACGGTCGGATAAGGCTCAAGTAAGCCCGGCTGAAACTCAGAAGGGATCGAGGGTGCCACGGAGACTGGTGTCGAATGAGCGGGTGGGAGGAAGGTGAGCCGGAGTTGGTCTTTCATTAGCTTCCAGAGGCTGGTCAGGTCGTTATGCGCAAGAAGAATACTGGTCGAGTCCTGGCTGCCAGGAGGTGTAGAGTCCGCCCCTTGCGATGCGCGTTGTCCAGCCGCATCTTCCGGAGTGAGAGTGAAGTCAGATTCAGACTCTGGCGAGGAGCATGTATCGAAGAATTGGTCATTGAGACCGCCTACTTCGGCTATAAAGGTGGCGGTGAACGGGCGCGTGGGATCCAGGTCATAGCGCGAGGCAAGTAGTTCGATGGACACATCGTCACTGGTAGCAAGCCGATTGAGCATATGATAATACATCTGAAGTTGAAGCAGTGTCGGCCGGAACGACGAACTCTTCACAGTGGGAACGGGGGCACTAGCTCGGGTCTTGACGTCTGTCATGTATATTCGGGGCAAATTGAAAGCCTCTGAGGAAGATTCACTGCCGATTCCGGAGTCATCTAGGCTTTCTTCTTCCTCGCCATTCCAGGAAAGGTCAGAGAGCCGTTTGCCACCCTGCGATGGCGACAACAGGTAATCCGAAAGCGACATTTGATACTCGGGCAGCACAGCCCTCGACGCCTCCACGTCGGCATAGTACGACGCGGCCGTCGCTTCAAGCTCTGGGTCCGGACACTCATAGGAGAGCTGATCAATGACCCCATTCACCAGCTCGCCATCCACCAGCCCCCATACCTCCAGCTCCCGAGTCATACCATACTCCCTCAATGTCCGCAACCCTTGTATGATATTCCATATCCTCAGCGCCAGCGCGTCTTCTTTAGTTGTAATCTCCACCGGGACCGTCATATAAATCTCATCCTCTAACGTCTTATGTATCGTAGTCCCCTTCTTCATCGCCGCAGTTCTCCTCTTCCTCCCAAACTTAGTCAACGTATACCAATACTGCAACTCGCACCACGCCGGCGAGATCAAATCCGTGACCGAAAACGCTTTATTGGGCGGTTTCCGAAACCTCTCGATCGGCGACCGGTCATCTGCAGCAGGATCCGTAGCACCGGTAGTCCATTCTCTCTCACGAGCTATATCCCTCTCGCGCTGCTTCGTACGGCCCTCAGTAGAATCCGGATGCTCTACTAAACGCTTCGTCAGACCGTCAGCGCCTCACAACAAACCCAGAGCACCAAAGCCAGGAAGAAAGAAAAAAGGGGGCAATACCAAACGCGGCGCCGCCATTGCTCGCCATCTGACCTGCTCTCTCCGCAGCGGGACTCTGCCAAGCCCTTGAAACCTGCCATACAGGCTTTTGCCTCCCCAATACCTTGGGCGTCCGAGGACTCGATGGAGCGACATGGCAGTCTTCGATGTCGCCTACGGCGCGGTTTGTCTCCTTCGCGGTTGGTGTGGTTATCAATGGTTGGGGCGGTGGTGTCGCGTGGAGAGCCGCGTGTTCCGTGACGGCTTGTGTGAGTAGTTCGTTCAAGATTTCTTCTTCATCCGGTGTGAAGTCGGATCCGTAATCGCTGCTATTGTCGGAGATTGTATCTTTCATTAAACGTTGGGAGGACTGCGGGCAGGACATGCCTGCGATCCTGTCGAGAGTTCATGTCATTGTGATGTGGAAGTGGCGAGGCCGTGGTTGATAAGGTATCGGTTATGATATCCCGTCACCGACTGGACGCGATCTTTCAGGAAGACGGAATTTGGGTACGCAGAAGTAGAATAACAAGAATGAGAGATCGCGGTGTGTCTATAAATCGCTATTTTTCATAGTCTATCAAGGGCGCTGCAAACACACGCTATCTATAATCCATCCAAACCCACCCAATGCCGCCATATCTAAATCTATATACAACAAGGGAGAAAAAGAACTCAAAGGGGTATAGGAAAAAAGACATCCAGCTAAGAATAGAACTATGCCTTCAGCGTCGCAGGGGCACCGACACCAATCTGCGAAGCCGCTGCTTCAGCCAACTCATTAGCCTCGACTTCTCGCGCCGCCTTCTGGTTCAACCAGCTGAGATACGTCTGCCATCCGACCGCAATAACTCCAGAGAATATATTCCGGAACTGAGGCGGCACGTACATGAAGCTGAATGCGGTGACTGCGGGCCACAACTTTGCGCTGTTGGTGATGCTCACTGGAAGCGCCTTCTTCAGACGCTCCCAGGTCTCCTCGAAGGTCGCACCAGAGAGCAACGAGTGGACACTGAAGAAGTAGGTGTTGAAGACGGGTGTGAAAACGGCCTGTTGCACGCAGACCTTGGTGAGGATCGAGAGGAACTTGGAGGTGAAATTGAAGTGGTGGTGAAGGAACATGAACCTATTGTTCATTCATTAGCATATTGACCCGTTATGCCAAAGCTCAGGACTGGGAATAGCATACCAGGTATACGACGGGATACTTGATCCT